CAATAGTTATGGAAACTGAAAACTTTTTTGCGCTGTGATCCACGTTCGTTAAGAAAGAGTTAAATGTCGCATTTGGGTAAACTACGGTGAAACTGCGCCTCATCGAGGTTTTCACCAAAAAAACCTTTCCTCTGTGTCACAGCTTAACCGACCACCTAAAAAGAGTGGTAGCCATTAACAGTGAGTGGGATAAATTAACAACTCTGGGTAGATTTTGGACAAGAAGTTGAATATTGTCGTCATTCATACTGGTAGTAGCAATTTCGTCATCATCATCGTACAGCGTAATACAGTGAAGCTAACTTCACTGATCACTGCCAAACTCATAGGGCATACAAGGTAGATGAGAATGCCTAAAGAGGATTGGGGTTGGTCCTACTTTTAGGGACGGGGAAAAGAAAGCGAGCCTCTATGGTCAACACATGAAGTGCACAGTCCAACTGTGCGTATATACTCGTTTTCAAGCATTCAGATATGATGAGAAGTTACCACAAGAACGAAACTGCCGTCGATTTCCTTCCATGACCTTCTCTACCTAATCACTCTGAGCATTTCTTCATGTCTCGTCTCTGCGTCATATGTTGGTCTCCATGTGGCTTTCTCCAGTCTGCAGCGGCCACTGTACATAAGGTGTGGTAGGTCACTGTTAGATATATGTTAGATATACGCTAAATGTGTCCTAACCAAATGAGCCTATTGAGTTGAAATGGGTACGCTGGCGAGTTCGTATTCGATGCATTCCCAAACGCCCGATGAGTGACTTATAGAATGCTAACCCGCTCACAACATCCCACATGAGCCAGACTACGTAGGCATCGATTGTCGAAAACCACTAGATGACGGATGTTTTCTAATCGCAAATTCAAGGTCTGATAACCGCAAAGCAGGACTGATCGTACAGTGGTGCAGTATACACGACTTTTCAATTTCGGTGAAGTGTCAAGTCATCACCATACGTACTTTTAGTCCTGCGTACACTGCTCGAGCCTTGAAAATGCGCGTGGTTATCTCCGTCGTTGGTTACGCGGCTACCCAAATACGAGAATCAGTCAACTTCAGCTAATTCCTGACCGTCTAGCTTCAAAGCAGAACTCGGCGACACAGTCTTGCAGCATCACTTTGCACTTTGAAGGGGTAAAGCACATGCAAAACGGAGCGACAGAACTTGATAGTCTGTCAAGCTCTCTTTGTGCATCCTCCATACATTCGAACCGGCAAACGATGTCATCAGCGTACCCCAAATCGCACCGCTTTTCTCCGATTGTCCATTCAATACCTACATTTTCGGAGACCACTTAGTATATTATCTAGTATTTCATCTATGACGAAATCGAACAGGAATGGCGAAACAGGACACCTTGGAAGACCACCACTCCTAGTTACGAACACCCTGAGTTCGTCGTAGTCCATTACGCTACCAGGAGTATGCGATTAGAGTGACCCCGGTATGTTTTGCGGCTTTCCTTTGCTAAGAAGCGAGCCCATTAGAGCTTCGCGGCCAACTGATTATAACGTTCCTGTTGGGTCAAGGATCAGTGCGATCATCAGTTGATAGTGTATGGTGCAGATCAAAGACTTGCAGCTTAAAGATTTGATCGACGCAACAGCTACCTGAGCGGAATCCTGCTTGTCGTTCGCTGATATTTATCTCCCTGAAGGGAGTCAGATCTCGAAGTATGACGGAGGCTAACACTTTGGTGACAAGGGGGATCAAACTTATCTCACAGTGGTTTGCGCAGTCGTTGCGAGATCTCTTCTTGAAAATGTGAACGATCAGTGATTCGATCCAGGATGTTGGAATGCTCTCTTGCGACTAGATGTTAGGCAATAAATCAGTAATATAATCTACAAAGACACCCCCCCCATTTTAAAAAGAGTGGGACGAAGCCTATCAGGTCCTGCCGCTTTTCCTTTCTTAAGGGCTTGAATGCAACATCGTAATTCTACTTCAGTAGGAGACTCACATGATTCTGCCCACGGAACCTCAACTGCATCAGATAAGATAGTCTTTTTATTGCCAGGCCGGCTGAACTGTTTGTTGAGTTACTCTCACCGGTCCAGTCGTTTTCTATTGTGAATAGCGTGTCCACTTTTGTCTCAGATTGTTTCACTAACGGATTTGCCACCCTCTTTTTGCATATCAGTCTTTGACTATTCCCTGATACAGCTGCTACTTTCATTTTACTAGCTATTTTTGTGGTCCTCCTTTTGGCTATTCAGGATCTAACGTTACAGTGCTACTGACTCATGAGACATCCAATGCCTTGGATGGGCTACCGCTTCAGATCCGCAAGCAACCCTAGCTGCGGATTACATTGGTCGTCTAATCGGATCCCACTGTTCATCTACAATACCACGCTGCTGTGTCCGTAGCTTTTGCTCCAGTCCTGATTCAAAGCGGACACGATCGCAGGGTGAACTGCGTGAAAATTAATGCTTGATTAGACTCAGCGCAGGTTGTAATAATTTTCTGACCCGACAATATGCGCATACATTCTCACATGCATCGGATGTATGTACCAAGAATTCGTAGTTTGAGGAACTCTAGTAAACATACGCAACGTTTGAGCAGAAGGTGAAAAGCGGTAATTATTATTGTCATCATTGTGATGTCATGTTTTGTGAATAACCACTTAAATGGAAAACAAATTGTGCAGCTAAGAATGATACATACAGCATGCACCGCAACCGCATTGTTTGGTGAGGAGAATGCAGCGATCAATTGAACATCATGGGATCGGATATCAGCATTCTCTTGAGGGTTTCTGTGGATCTGGAGCCGACAAGTATAGTGTTACGCATAGAAAACTAAATGAATTTTCAGCCATCACTCCGGATATTCTCAGTCTCTGAGACTCGGGGACGGGGACGAGGGGTGTGTGTGTGTGTGTGTGGCGGTTTGAATGATGAACCTAGGACCATCGCACACAACCATTTCAGTATTTGCGATCATCACGTTTGATTTGGGTGGGACGCTGTTCGCCCAGATTCTTCGTCCTGTTTGCTGCCAGTGATGTCGATTTTGTCAACGGTGTTACGGGTATGGTCGACACAGTGTTTGCGGACGATTTACCGACGCTCATCGGCTTCATGCGACCGGAACTGGCGCTCTGACTCCGAGTGGTTGCACGATTCCCAGGCTTTCGAATGCTGTTCTTGATGGGTGAGCCCCTCTCTCCAGTAATCTCCTCAAATGATACTCGGTTTTCCAGTTGGGGCAAACTGCCCTTGAAGTCTGAAAAATGAAAGAGTATACAGCGAAAAGTAGGCAGTTAGGTTTTTCGAAAAAAGTCCAAGCTAAAACATTGATTGTTTCTGTAATATAGTCTCAGTTAAGGCTCTTTTTCTCAGTCATTCTACTATCCCAAATTGGAAATTATTCGTATATGAGTAATTGTGAACAAGGTTTTTCACTTGTCGGTATCCTGTGAAATGGATTTGCTTTCAACCACAACACAACCACCTCGTCTACTACTTGAGACAACCTCACCAACAGTCAACAAAATCGTCTGTTTGGGCGGCGCATCAGTGGGATCATATTTTATTATTTACCCTAACTTGATTTTCAAAGTGCGCGCCTGAAGTAGTAGTAGTAGTAATACGCGCTGAACTAGGAATACCAACACAGTAAGTTCCTTCTGTTTACGGGGTTAGGAACACTGAATGATATGACTGTGGAGCTGTGGCGCTCGTGCATTCACTCAATGCCCCTTTTGAGCTAAATCATTTTATGAATTCTCTCTACTTTTACCATGTGACACTGATTGGAATATTTCAATATCCCCCTTATTTTAATTTGGCCAAATTTCAAGGCAATAGATAAAAAACAAAACCAGCGCACAGAAGTGTGTGATTAATGGTTGTAAAACCCAAAACCGAAGTGCACTTATACGCTGGGCAATTCGTCCGGAATTTGTTTCTGTATCCTGGACTCCCTACAGAAAACAATCCGATGCGGGGTAAAACAATCGTTTATCGACAAGTTACCTAACCAATAAGGTTACTTTCTTTTCGATATCATGCTATTTATGAAATAAAGTATGTTGTCCATCCCGGCCCAAATGTTACTCGCAAACCGAGTACTACCCCTTCTCAAAGGTGCTCTCCAACGGCAGTGACTTTCGACCTGAGCTGAATTTTGATGCCGATTCAAAGAGACCACTTGCTTCGTTCTCTTCCCTTTCGGCTAAGAGGCTAATCGTTATTTCCACTGCACAGGTCTCGTGAGCAAGCTAACCCAGGTAGTGTTAAACTTGCCTTCAATTGTTGTGCTGTCCGAAATGCAATTCGGATGCCTCAGTGGTGTATCCTGATCGGGGCGCATCGCATCTTGGCAGTGCGGTTTACTTCAGCGAACTGTATACAGCCACTAAGTTCCCGGGGGTCTTTTTGTCCCGTCTATTCAATGACAGAGGTCCGATCTAAAGATGTCAAAGCCCGATTGTCAGCATACATCAGAGAGGCGATAACTATTTGTGTCCGGAGAGCCCCATATAACAGATTCCAGTTGAAAATTCACATTTCACAACTGTTTATCACAAATTGAACATCCACGTCTCAACTCCCCCCGACCCCCTATCAAATGTACTCCACTGGCGCATATTAACATTGGTAATTTTTCATCGCCCCACGTTATTTCTAGAATTACATAATGTGTTTTTGTTCATCAG